CTCAACTCTGAGGAAGACATACACGAACAGGAGCAACGTCAGCATTTACTGTACACATTACTAGCTATTCGGTATGTGTCTGAGCCCACTACGTATCGGGGAGCAATGAAGTCTTCCCACGCTAACCAGTGGCGTAAAGCAGCTAAATCGATATACAAGTCCCTCATGGACAATCACACTTGGGTGTTGGTATCCCCTCCTAAAGGAAGGAAGATTTTAAGTAGCCGATGGATCTTTGTAGTAAAGTATACCGGCACTGGCGAGATCGACCGCTTTAAAGCGCGTCTTGTGATCAAAGGATTCCTTCAGGAATATGGCATCGACTACAACGAGATATTCTCTCCTGTCATCAGGATGGAGGTACTTAGACTACTTCTTACTATTGCAGCTCTTCTCGACTTTGAAGTCCATCAAATGGATGTTAAGACAGCATTCCTTAATGGCTACTTGGAAGAGGAGATCTACATGGCTCAACCGGAAGGTTTCAAAATCCCGGGCAAGGAGCACCTAGTGTGTAAACTTCTTAAGAGCTTATATGGGCTTAAACAAGCGCCTCGTGTATGGTACCAAACCTTGTCTGCCTTCCTAGAGAATCTCGGGTTCCTGAAACTCATTAAAGATCGATGCGTATTTCGACGCACAGTTGCTGACATCACCTGTTACATTGCAGTGTACGTCGACGACTTACTGATCATTGCGCCTACACCAGCACTCGTCAGTGAGCTGAAATCAGCCTTGAAAAAGCGTTTCTCCATGTCAGATTTAGGGGAGGTGAAGTACTTACTCGGCTGGTCAATTCAACGTGACCGTAAAAACCGAACGATGTTTATCCACCAGCACAAGTACGCTACGAAGGTCATTGATCGCTTCAGCGACTACATTCCGTACCCTATTGCAACACCAGCAGAACGGAACGCTAAACTTTCCGTAAGCAGTTAGCCCAGCAGTGAGCACGAGAAAGATGCGATGAAATCGATTCCGTATCGACAAGCTGTAGGTAGTGTCATGTATTTAATGGTAGGCACTCGACCCGATTTGGCATTCTACATGCGAGAGGTCAGCCAATTTCTAGCGAATCCAGGTATGGATCACTGATAAGCAGTCATTCGTGGTCTAAAGTACCTATCTGGAACGAAAGAATACGGTCTTCTTCTGGGAGGCTCGACCGATATTACATCGGAAAACCTTGCCGATCAACTAATTGCCTACAGTGACTCTGACTACGCCAACTGCCCCGACTCGAGACGCTCCATTGGAGGATACGTGACAATGCTAGCTAGCGGTCCTTTCTCATGGCTTTCGCGTAAGCATCATACTGTAGTTCTCTCGACAACAGAGGCAGAATATATCGCCCTGTGTCACTGCATGCAGAGGATGATATTCCTCAAACTTCTCCTCAACGAACTTGGCTTTGCTACAACGCAGGCTAACACAATATACGAGGATAATCAGAGCTGCATCAAAATCTGCTACAACCCCGAACTTCACGGACGATCAAAACATATACACGTACGATACTGTTTCGTGCAAGAAAAAGTAGAGCGGCATGAATTTAACGTCACCTACTGCAATACGAAAGAGATGATAGCTGACATCTTCACTAAAGCTTTAGATAAGCACCAGTTTAGAGAACTAAGGGCCAAGCTCAGGATGAAATGTCTGAAAGCAGGATCCGGCCACTCAGTTTAGAAATACCCTGATAATACAAGCGCATGAAGCGTGTCTATATTCTGCGTTCTTTTTAGAATTTTTTCCCACTGGGTTTTATTCTTTTTTGCTCGCACAAGGTTTTCCCTCGTTGAGGTTTCCCTGGTCAAGTACCGAATTATCTAGACACATGAGTTTATCAATAATAATCCATGCTTAACAACAAATTTGTTAGAGATACGCCAGTACATCTCAGTCGCTTTCACTTTCAGCATTTGTGTCACTGGACACGTAGTCGGTGTCATAATGTGTAGATTTTGTGGTTTCTGTGTGACAAATGACATCATCACTAAATACCCCAGCTTAGTGACTTCTTCGATGGAGTGGTGGCCACGTGTGCTCGAGAAGCCCCTTCCCCCCTTCTCCAGCGTGGCGATGAGAACTGGCGCAAGCTGCAGTGCTGTCCGCGGCGCCCGCTTCTTCTTCTCCCTCATAAGAAGCGCTCTTTGCAGATCGGAAGGGCTCTGTGCCCACCGAAATAGCCTCTACCGATGCGAGGGAGCCTGCTTCGTAGCAGCGGCAAGTAGAGACGACATGTTGGGCTCCATCCTTGAGTTCCTACCAGGCGTGTCACTTAGCGTCCTCCTTCCCTAGCAGAAACTGCAGGGCAAAGTCAGATCGGCTAGCCTAAGCGACTTCCTGGCGGCGTTTCAAGGACTGAGGAAAAGTCCTTTAAGGAAAGTTTTACCTCTGTTATAACATAGAATTGTCAGTTTGATAAAATATGTTCAGAGGCAGGGAGGCTGTTGAAGTAGCCTCTAAACAGTTTGATTACCGTGACCTAGTCACTCCAGAATATTATAATGAGATTTAGGAGGTCCTGTTTAAGTCGGTATGACTGGCTTAAACTATACAGACACTAATGGCTGGTGTACAGCTATTGGTGGCTTCCTAATACTAATAAAGTACTCACTTCGTCTTTTGACGCCTACAAGTAACGTCTTCTTCCTCTCCCTACTTCTTCTCGACCTGTCATACGAGTTATACAAATAAATGGAGTCGCACCAGTCTGATCGGCGTTAAACACCTTTTGTAAACTTAGCTCTAGCATCTTTTGCTGTACTTCAATACCAAACCTGACAGCGGTCATGTCTGCCTCCTCTGGCGTCACCTGACCTTGGCGTGTGCGCGCGAATACTGAGTCGGTGTCGCCTGATAGACCCCTCTTGCCAGTGCCAAGATCCCCGGAACGCCATTATGCCGAGGTCCTATGCTATCTCCACGCCTTTCATACGTAGCATTACCGAGCTGATAGGCACACCTTCTTTTCTAAACAAGTTTATCCACTGTACAACGGCCTCCTCAGAATCTCGAGGCAGTATTGTTACGGTACCAGGTGCCCTCATATACTTCATGTCTGCCACAGCTGTCAGCTCACAGCGCTCCTTCAGGACCATGCTACGCCATTTGTAGACTGACTTTCGACGCTGGTCCTTGGCGTCGTCGCTAAGGAGCGGGTAGAAAGTGTTCACCGTGTGTGTCATGTTACCACCACTGATAAAGTGGCTGGCTACCTCTAGTTTGTGACGATTCGAGAAGCTGCTGCGATTGTGTTTAAGCGGCAATGCTGCCGAATTTCGAAATATAAGCTAATCTAATGGCTGTCGGCGCTCCGATTTGTCGCCAAGCAAGATTTAAATCAATTTGATTGGCTATTCAATTTGTCGCTGATGACTGAGCGTCGCAAGGATTACGGTACTTGAAAATCGACACACAGTTTCGGATGGTACCCTGATGCTCCATATAAGTCCGATATCGCACTTAATGTGAGCTTTAGTGAGCTCGAGTTTTTAAGCCGATTGGACCCATTCAACCAACTCATCTTGGAAACTTCTACTACCGGTATTATAGAGCCCACAATATCATTTGTTAAAACACGACGTCTAAGAGCCTGTTCACTACGTAGCTGGAGATGGAGATGAATGCAACAAATCTTGCGTCCCCATCTCCAGTTTGGTCGCCAGAGAAATCATGTCCACCTAAATTTCAACCAATCAAACCCTATGTTGTTCGGAGTCGTCAGTCAGACAATTGCCATCATGCCAGCACGCTTCACATGCGCTGCCGCCCGTGAAGATGGAGGACTACATCCTCCAGTTGACAACAGTAGCACCGACGAGCTATCCCCTCTGGCGTCTACATTCGGACCAGCTGCGGACAAAGTAGTTTTCCCCTCGATGATATCAGGTGATAGCCAGAAGCTTGTCGGCGATGGCAATGACGGAGCGTTTAGCTTTGTTCCTATCTCTCGTGATTCTACATCTTCACCGACGATGCCAACGCCTTCTTCACCACCTACCACCTTGGGGCTTGTGACAGCAGCTCCACCTCCAACACCCCGTGGCCGGCATGGCAAGAAACCTGACTCGAACACGCCGTTGGCATTTGCATGGACATTAAAGGCGTCTGAAACGCTTTTGCGTGTACGCTTTGTTGCGATGAAGCATCGTTTTCAGGGCACCAGAAGCTCGAAACAGCTTGCGGCTGCCTGTAGTTTGGTTGCTGCGGAGACGTTCCGCCTGGGAGGTCTTCAGGTGAACACAGGGCAGTGTAAGTCAAAGGTACGGCTATTCTTTAATATTAGGTTAAAGTCGTTTTATTAACTGAGCTTTGAATGCATGATACGTAGTTAAAGCACATGCACAAACAGTATACAGCGTATCGAGTAGCATTGCTGGATACTGGAAATGCTACGGAGAAGCAGTTAAAGGAGCCAATGTGCTATGAGACGATGTGCGACGTGTGGAGCGACCACTACGGCATGGACGCAGACCCGTTCTTTTCAAGTGACGCCCCATAAATCTCTGTAGGTCGGTATTTAACCGAAACCGATGACGCGGTGATTGAAGAAAGCCCGAGTAGCGGTGGGTGGAGACAGCATGCTGGTAAACGCACACGAGACAAAACCGAAACTGCTGAAGGAATGAAAGCTATTGGCGAGGGTCTCCACAGCATTGCCGAGGCGTTCAAGGTGTCAAGGACGCAGGGAGGTGACAATCATAGCCGTGAGCTTCTAAGCTCTATTCGAGAATTAAGTGAAACTGTGCAGGCACAGACCCAAGCACTTAAAAGCCTCATGGACCTCATTAGGGCCAGCGTACCCAAAAACGCGGCCAGCAACAACAGCTCGACTTGCGCGGACTAAATCGCTACCACTTTCATTGTTAACGGCAAATTTGACTGGCACTTGCATTACGTTTAGAAATTCCTATATGGCGTTGATTTCTACTTTGTTCTCCATCATTAATGTCGGCCTCAGCACTATTGTTATTGTCGTCGACAAACAAAGGAATTCAGTGGTGTCTCGGAAGTGGATCGTCAAATTATGCAGAGTCATGGTTGCAACGACAAATTCTGCTGATCGATGAGGTGTTTCCTGACTCATTGGGCCTTGCAACATTCTGAAACGACCTTTCCAAATTCCAAAGGTGCTCTCTACAGCCATGCGAGTACTTGAGTGCAAAACGTTAAATTGTCTCTGTCTGGGTGACAGCTCTCCACCCTCTTCCCGATCACTGTACGGTACTATAAGTCCAGGCAGTAATGCGTATCCAGCGTCACCAATAAAATGAGTTCCTGGTGGTATCGTACTGTATAACGTTCGACCAATTTTGCTATACTGCCAGCACTTTCGATCCGACCAAGAGCCAGAACGAACTTCAGCACTCAAGAAAACATTATCACTGGTGACGATCGCTTGCACATTCAACGCCGGGTAGCACTTGCGGCAATAAAAACCATCAAACTCCTAGGGACGCTCGACTTCAATTAGAGATCCATCAATTGCACCTACGACACCAGGATACCCATGTCGCGCCGCAAATTCTGACTTGATTGCATCCCAACCGCCTTGGTCCCGTGGAAATGCCACAATTTGGGGAGCTGCAGCCCTTAGAGCTCGAACAACTTCTGCAGTAATTTCTCAAACGTAGCTCCTAGACATGCCCATTGCACCTCCAACCTCCCTGTATCCTCCGGTCGAACCCATGAAGTAAAGCGCAGCAGCGACCTTTTTGTTATGGGAGTGCTCCTTCGATTTCGCCGCAGCGAATCAACCCCCCTGACATTGTAGGAAGTTGGCGACGCGTAAAAAGGTTTTCTTGGAGCATCGAAGGTTTGTTACAAACCAACTGTCGTAGCTCCATGACAAAAGCATAGGCTCGAAGTCCAAATCGGTCACAGTGAGAATTTGTTTCTTGGGTCCTGGTGGCGCACTCTCACAAGTGGAGGCGAACAAAGTAGCCGTCTACGCGACAGCAGCACACGTAGCAACTATAATAGTTTCTTCATCATCCATTGCACAGAAACAGTTTGAAAACGGTATTTAGTCGTCTCCAGCCGTCTCGATCTCACAGACGCAGGGTGAAAGTGTGGTTGTAGGTTCAAAATTTCGGCCAATCAAGTATAAGAAAAAAACTGATCGTAAATCCGTAGTGAACAGGCTCTAATAGACGTCGTGTTTTCATGTGTTCGATTTTTTAAATTATAGGTGTACCGGTATGCAGTTAAAAGAAAAGAATTGCAGCATTGATCTCCTTTCAGTTGTTTCGTATCGATGCGTGTCAACTAAGAGGTTGAGATGCTCAAATCAACTTTGCTTATTTAAGCGTCCTTAGTTTTCTCCGCCTTAAACTTTCGCAATCTCTGCACGAGTCTTACGAGATGAGCCAGAACAACGATGCTAGCAGTCGCAGCGTAGGTGGCGAAGATGAACGGCTCCTGCGGCAAGTAACAAGCCGTCACTTCAGGCCGGTTGGCTCGCGACAGCCCCAGCACCGCGTAGCTCGGGTCGGGACGCTGTCCCCACGAGAACGCTGGGACAGTGTATTCCGTTGCTACGGAATCGGGGTGCTTGTACTCGCACCACGCGTGGGTGTGTCCTGAAAGCACTAGATCGGGTTGTATCTTATCCAGCAGCTTCGCAGACAGCTCACGCGAGAGCACATGATGGTGCGTCTCGTACTTGAAGCCAGGGGCCTCGTACGTGACGTGGCCTGCCTCGCGCAGCCGTTCTTCCCCACACTGGAGGTCATCCACGCGGAAAAGCGGCAGGTGTGTGAGAAGGATGACACTGCCACGCGTACGTGCTCGTAGGTCATCAAAGTTGACGCTTTCCAGGAAGCTCCTTGCCTCTATTTCTACGTCGTGACTAGCAACGTCCGAGTCCAGCGCCATCGTGTTGAGACTTACAAAGGTGTGTCCTTCAATCTCATCTATGCGGTTCGCTGCTCCGAACGTGACCTCGTAGCGCTTCACGTCTTGGAGCCTCATGTCCCGACCGAACGATGTGTCGTGGTTGCCCACCAGGTATAGTGTCTTTAAAGGCAGGAGACTCGCGAAGGCGCGGAAGAATCTGTCGGCGTACTCGTCCCAGTCTGCGTTTGGCGTCCAGCGACTGCCCTCGTCGAACTGGTCGCCTAGCACAAGTGCCACCTCGGGTCTGTGTACGTCTACTGCTGCCCTCGCGGCCGCACGCACCTGCCAATCCACCCATAGCCTCTCGACGAATGAACGCCGCCGCTTGCCTAACAAATGCACGTCTGTCACGACCAAGACGGTAAGCGTATCGTCCGGTGTGTCGGGGAGCTGCAGCTGGCAGCGCCACGCCTGGAAGTAGAACACGCCGGCCTGACACAGCAGCGCCGCAGCCGTGACCAGCACCAGCTCCCATGCACGGACCATTTTTGACCTATTGAATCGAGTTTAACCGGCAATTTGAAAACCCAATCGACGTTGACGCACCGGTTGGGAACGGGCCTCAGACGATGTTCTCCTCACGTTGACGAACCAACTCGAAGCGCTTGGCGGGCCACTCGTTCATATCATCGCCATAGCAACAGAATTGCCTGGCAGAAACCACATTGCGTGTGCTTTACTTGAGCCGAGTCCACAGCTGAGCGTTTTTGCAGAGCTCTTCAGAGTTGAAGTTTCCTCTGTACCACAAGAACGCGCAAACATCTGCTTGGCGAAACAATCAGATCTTTGACTTAATATTTGTATGCCTTTGTTTCCTCGCACTTAATTGGATCGCTCTAGTCGATGCACGACAAGTGCGTCACTTCGATATTTGCCGCCAACCCCAAAGTATCGTCAACGGAAAACTTATGCATCGTCTCGCTGGCCGCGCTCCGATCCGCCGCGGGGCTTCAAGTCTCAATGCCAGCAGCGCATTCCATGACAACATTACAGCCAAGATCGACGAGCTGGCGCAGCTGCCGCAAACGGGCGTATCGCTCCAGTATCTCCTCGAGTTCGGGACGGATATTTCCCCTCAGAAACTCATCCAATCCGCGCGCTTCTTACACGGAGAAATGCCCGTCCGATACGCACATCGTATCAAGAATCTGGAGAATTTGCCGCATGGCCTAAGCGACATGCCGTCGGTCAAGCAGGTGCGTGAATGGTACGTCAACTCGGCCCAAGAGCTGCTGAGCTTCCCTAAAGTGGAAACCTACCAAGATGAATTGGCTTTTCGAAATTTAATCGAAAGCATTAAAGGCCGTCACAGTGGCACATTATACACAATGGCCAAGGGCGTCCACGAGCTCAAGATGGAACTGTTCAAGTCTTTTACTGAAAAAGATCATGGGGTCACCAGGAAAGAACTGGGCCAGAGATATTTGAGATCCCAAGAATTCGCCGACTTGTCAGACTTGCACTCGTTTCTAGATGCATTCTACATGTCGAGAATCGGGATCCGAATGCTCATGAGTCAACATATTGCTCTCCATGAGGAAGAGGAAGGGTGGGTCGGGTGTATCTGTGAGAGCACTTCGCCCGCAGAGATCGCCCTTGCCGCTATTGATACAGCCCGGCACATGTGCTTGAGGCAATATGGAGATGCCCCTGAGGTTGAGTTGCATGGGCATACCGACTTCTCCATGCCTTTTGTGCCAAGTCACTTGCACCACATGCTCTTTGAGGTGATTAAAAACTCAATGCGTGCGGTGGTAGAATTCCACGGAGTCGACAATGACATGCCGCCCATTAAGATCGTTATTGCGGACGGAGAAGACAATGAAGATGTGTCGATCAAGATCTCGGACGAAGGCGGAGGCATTCCTCGCTCGTCAGTCTCGCGCATTTGGTCGTATCTCTATACGACGGCAGATTCGGAAGCATTCGAGAGGTTAGAAGCCCCCAACGATTTCGGTGGGGACTCTCCTCTCGCTGGACTGGGCTACGGATTACCGATCAGTCGGTTATTTGCACGCTACTTTGGTGGAGATCTCCAAGTGATCTCAATGGAAGGGTACGGCACTGATGCGTACCTTCACTTGAAGCGTGTTGGTGACGTCTCTGAGCCGCTCCCATAAAAGAATTGGCGGGTATGAATGAACAACGTGTACCTTTTGAATATTGAATCGCTGGCTGCAATAGAAGGCAGCAACGACGTTGAACACTGTAGTAGTTTTGACACAAAGGGACCTAAGTATGTCTACTCTTCGGTCGTAGCATCTGCGCTCGTGCGTGAATTCTGCTGGTGGCGGTTCCAGGACCATTTTCTCCTGAGTTTGGCCTTCCTACATGCCGTGTAGAGCCGTGTATCTTTACACCGTGAAGCGGATCTAGCTTCGTTTGCGACCTGGGGCGATCCTCAGGTGACTCGAGCGTGATAGCTGCTAGCATTTTGTTCGCAGACGAATCATTTTCCACATTCGGCGGACGCTTTAGCAACGAAGACGAAGGGGAATCATGCGGCATTACTGTCATAGTTCCCGCTCCTCCAGAATGATATCGCTGTCCAACGACAACCCCACTGACTCCTAATGGAGCACTTTGCTGCTCGCGTCTGAAATCTCGCAGTATTTCCACCAGCTCAACCTCAGTGATAAATTGCTTACTCAGAGCGTCGATTTGCGTCCTCAATTGTTGCAACTCATCGCCTAACGAGCGTGACATATCACCTTCACCTTGATGATCAGCGTCAACTATCCCTCTCTTCTGTATCTCACCAGCGAGTTTAGCAAGTGACGTCTCCAGCACATGCTGACTACGACTAAGTGCGCTAACCTCACGACCCACATTCCCCAGAATACGTTTTTCAGACGCCCACTCATTCATCGCAGCTGTAGCCACCTTGTTGTCGGCTTCATGGCGGAAAAACATATCGGTAAAAGCTTCCGAATATCGACACAGAGCTGAAGCCATTTCACCGGCCGCAGCTCGTGTAGTGATCACAACGGGGAATCGACAGCTCTCAGACTCGTCACTTCGCCCACCTAACAACGCTAATATCTGCATGGAAAAGTCCGAGCCGAGCACACGACCCACTTTTTCCACATGAGCCTCAGCGGCAGCTAGATCCACTGGCTCCTGTGCCATCGTAGAGTACGCGTCATTGATCAAAGCCACCAATTTGTCAAGATGCTTCTGAGCCACAGGGTTTACACTTGAGCCGCTGTTCGGATTCAGTCGTTTTTGTTTCTTCCAGCGATGTTTCAGAAGATTTAAATTCCTCGAAAGCTCCAGTAGTGACACTCGTAGTACAGGGATCTGGGAACTTGTTAGATGTTGCGTTCCCTTCTTCATGCTTAATGAGGGACTTTTCTCTCCCACCATTAAGTCATCAGAAGGATCGTTCAGTATTTCGTTGTCAAGATGCAATTGGAGCTGCTTCGATCGATGTCGATGGTTTGCTGGCGAAGTCTCGATATCTCGAAGACGGCTGCGAAGTTGCTTGACCTCGTTCTGAAGCGTAATCATGTCAATTCGTTCGGCTTTGGACTCACAGATCGAGTAAAGTTGCAAGTTTGACGTCCGGATCAGCTGGAACGCACGCTTGACTTCTTGCTGACATAGATCCAGAGTTACGTGAAGCTCACTGAGTCGCGGATTGTTGCAGCTAGCTGATGCCAGTTGCAGTCGTCTATAGGCATCCGATAGTTCGGCAGCAGCTCGGGCATCTGCTTCCCGTTTACTAGCTTCTTGTTGCCGAATTCGAGACTCGACTTTCACTTTCATGTCGTCAGGGATAGTAAACGGCTGCAGATCCGTATACCCTTGTGAGCTCCGTGTACTATCAAGTCGTTGCATGTGTGTTTGTAGTGAAAGTTTCTCTTCATTCGTCTCAAATGTAAACTTCTCGGGGATATGACTGGGAGGGGGTGCTTGCAACGCAGCTAGTTGCAAAGGGAGTTCTTGGAATTTTTGGGTCAGTTCCACAAACCGATTGTTCATATCTTGGCGATGATCTTCGACTTTCTAATAAAGTCAAGCGTTAGGAAATACAGGTGTACGTAAGTTATTAAAGCTTAAACGCACCGTGTCGACGATTTGGATATGCTCTTTCTCCTTCTTGACTTTGGTAGAGAGCACCGTTAAATGATTTTGGTGAGCACGCATATTATTCTGGAATTTTTCCATTGCATTTTCATATTCTTTCAGCTTGGATGTCATGGTGTTGACCACGCCGGACACTTCACCGCGCACGGTTTCTGATCCTCGGTTTGAATCGTGACGTAGTTGATAAACATCGTCACGCACTTCGCTCAAATGTTGCTCTAATCGGGTCAGCCGCTGACATATATGCAGGAGGATGGAACGCGACGCACTTGTATGTACTCCCAGTCCTTGCTGCACGAACTCCAGCGTCTCACCCACAGTCATTGTCCTAGCTGAATCGCTGCTGGACATGCCGATTGTAGAGCTCTCTGCTGTCTCGCTTGGCACTTCAATCGGATCATCCGCCGTGTCACTCATTGCCAAGATCGTTAAGAAAAAAATGCGTTAACAACCGGAAACCGAAGTCTCTGCTGCATTTTGCTATTTTGAGGCGACTTTTACCACAAATAATAGTAAAAGTCGGATACAATTAGAAAATTACCCCACATTGTCAGTCCCCTCTTTTGTAGCTAAACTGTTACGAGTCACGGATAATGATGTTGTTCTTGAGCAGACTCATACGCAGAAGCAGATTGCGCGACTCCGCCGCATACTTTCGACCCACTTCGAACGCGCGATCGTACGTTGCAGCGCGCTGGTTCGGGTGGTACGCATGCAGCACCTGAGATACACATTTACAAAAAAAAATTAGTTGCGCGCTAGATACTTCTTTATAGTTGCACACACCTTTTGGTACGAATCCATCCGAGCGTGCAGACGCTCTGCTGCAATGAGATCGCAGATCTCCTTCTCAAGATCCGCTATCGGTGTGTTGAAAGTACGAGCCATCTGGTGCAAGTCCACTGAAAGATACGGGTAGAAGTACTGGATGATCCCGCGACTGCGAATCTCTTTGCACAGGTTTTCCACATGCTCACACAGATACAAGTCCAGCTTGAGCTCGGGCTATCAGCAATATGAAAACGCATTAGCACAATAGCAATATTACTAAAAATAATAATAATAATTAGGCTTACCTTCATTTGCTCCAGTGTCTGCAGACATGAGGCGTAGTTGCTCGAGTAAAAGTCCGTGATGAGCTCACGTAGCCATGGCAACAGCTCCAGAAATGCCTTGAATGACGAGTTGTTGATCACTTTTTCCTTCAATTCTTCACGTTTGAAAGACGCCAGAGCGCAAATCCCGCCGTAGAGCGCGATATCCTCGGCATGTAGCACCTCGTTGTAGCTTGCACCAATCTCCGCGCTGCACTCGATAAACTTGGAGGCAGCTGCGTGGTAGTTTTTGTCGTGCAAGGCCACAAGACCAGAAGCCGACGAGATTTTCGACTTGAGACTGAAAAAAACGTAGCAAATTAGTTGCAATTTTATACATAAAGACCATCATTCTTTACTCACATGGGGTCACTCTGGGAGCTGCTGACTTGTTCCAATTTTGTCAAATAGTTGGTGACATGACCGAAGTTGCGCATGTGCAGTGCCACTTTGCTCACGTTTAGACACATTTCAATAATGTGTTTATCCGTGGTGCAATAATCCCGCGCCTGGGCGAAACTTTTCAGCGCAGAGGCCAGATCTCCTAAATTGTAGTAGAAATCTCCCAAGTCGTTGTGGCCCATCTGAAAAATCCATTAATACATTAAACACACTTGTAGACTTTCATATTTAATAAAAATAGTCGTACCCGGATGCTTTCCTTGATCATCGTGGACTTGTACGAGTTTAGCTCCTGCTCCAAGCGCTCATGCTGTTGTGCCGCGTTGTGTTTCACGTTGTCAATGAAACTAGCCTCGTCTTTTGCCTTGTCGGCAAGCATCTCGGCGTAAAGACCCATATTCAAGCTCCCCTTGAGCTCACGGAGTAGCGCGCGTTTGGCCTCAGACTCCAGCGCAGGGCATGTCTGAGTAAGGAAAAGCAATCGCTCGGTGCGGTTGCGGCCGCTGTATTTGGCGGCGTACGCCTCCACGTCGAAGCCGTCAAGCGCTGCCATGGTCGAGGAATTGACCTTTGATGTATCTTTTTATTTAATCGGGTTTTATTTATTATTGTAAAATAAATAAATTGACGTGCTTTAATTGGCTGATTTTTATCAAGTGAGCTTTTTGCATTGTTGCAGCACAACTTGCGCGGTGCGAAAATGGCGTCTCCTGTGGTGATCGCGCTTTATCGGTTTGGCAATGTTTCCAATATCTCTGAGGAGCTGTCAAAATTAACACTCTAACGAGATGACTGAAGGGCGTTACTGCGCTCCACGCAGACGCTGCAACGCGACGTGGAGGCTGGCAAAACGCTGTATGACGCTGTCCGTTCGGGTGCAGTTGCCTCGTACGCCGGCGTCAAGACCGATTGGCAACGCGAGCGTGCGTTCGTGCGGCGTTTGGAGGACATGGAGGTGCTGACGCGACGAGGTAGAGGCGACAGGGCTTTTGCAGCAATTGTGCGCGCAGGATTCGCACCACCGGTAGAGGGCAAAGCTGCGGTGGACGCTCGGATCGATGCCGCTTTCGACGCGCTGAAGCGTGTAGACGACCACAACGCGCTTATCCAGGAGTTCAAAGACCAAAGCATTTTTGGACCCAAGGTGGAAAACTTGCCATATTTTTTGCGAAATTTGTTGGCAACAATGCTAATGTGGTGCTGGAATTGTAAGGAACGCACGAATGCGATTGAGTTTCTAGTTGGAGACGTGGTTGAAGTGAAAGGTGAAAAGCGAGGAGTGGTTTTCGCCTGGCACGTGACCACAGATGCAGCAGAAGCATCTGCGGGGTCTCGGGTGGTATACGACATTTTACCTCACAGTCCTGGCTTCAGGTGAGATTTTGCTTGATATTTGAGAATGGGCGCAAAAGGCTGGTTAACATTTGCCATGAAAAGTTTTGCCAGCAAGCTTTACAATGTGCCACAAGATGAAATCCGGCTTGACGAGGCACCAAAGGTGATATGTCTACCCAGAAGTCAAATTTCGTAAAGTGAACGGGAAGGGGTAATTAACCAACTTTGCTCCTCCAGCCTGTGGTGCACCCGGCGCTCTTGCTGTATTTCGACGGCTTCGATGGTACCAACCACATCCCATCCGACGCTTTGGCAGCTCGATACCCAACTGACGTCACTACAAAACCTAAAGATGCCGATACCGTTGTCGCTACCCCGTCGATCATCCAGCTCCAATCCGCCGACGAAGAAAATTTGCTGATGTACTTGCGGTGCGATGATAGCACCATTGTCCAGTTTGCCATGGCCAGTCTGGAGGGAATGTGGCTCGGAGAATGTGGATACAGTGCGCAAAACCAAGTGCAGCGTGCAGTGGAGCTTGCAGGCGGTGAGAAATGGGATGAAGCTCGCGAAATGCTCGAACAAGTCGTGCAAGAGTCTTCAGCATTTGCATACGCTTGGAACAAACTTGCCATGGTGGAGTATCAGAATGGTACGTTTAAATTAATATTTCGGGGGGAAGTTGCATCCTGAAATTGTCACATGGATGTTGCCACTTTTGCAGGCAACTTTGGCAAAGCACTCGGCCACTACGAGACTGCAATCAAGTTGAAGCCACAACTGATCGAGGCACTTGTTGGTCTTGGAACATGCGCCACAAGACTCCAGCGTTGGAGTTTAGTGCACCGCGCTGCTGTCCAGTTGCTAGAAGTGCAACCACGCAACGACACTGCGCGGATGCTGATCGAACAAGCCGTATACGCCACCTTGTAGGCAACAAGCTGACTTTAAACCTTTAATGCCACAAAAATGCATCATTTGTTTTTAGTTGCACAGGCGCTTCCAATGACTCCTACTGCAAAAATGTACGCTAGACTCTCCAAGACAGAAAACTACCTCGATCAAGCTGGCAAAACACAGACCTTAGTTTACATAAGTCCTTGCTGCTCAATACAGCGACTTGCGCGTGCGCTACGCGAATAATATAAGTCGACGCGCTCTTGAAGTGGCGCCGGTGAACTCTCAAAGTCGATCAACACTCTTAGAACATATACCGCGACACAGACCACAGCATATCTGCGTCCTTGGAGCGGAATTCTTCTTCTTCCGCGTCGAACGCAGGCTCGTCACTCGCGGCAGTGACGCTGATACGTCGCTTGGCGTCTTCATCCTGCAAGATCATGACCGCTTCACTCAACGGCGTGGCCCACACGACCCGTTCGCCTTTGTCCGACGTGTCCTCGGCGGCCGACTGTGTCTGTCGTCTCAACGAGGGCAAACGAGACGGTGTAACCATGCCACGAGGCGAAGACGGCGGCGAGATCGCAGCACTGCACGTGAAGAAGCGGATGATGCGCTCCACGAGACTTGCTCCTTGCGTCTGTCGTCGCAGCTCTGCGACCTCGAATCTTCTGGCTTGAAGCGCCAGCTCCAGCTCCTCCACGCGTTGTTGTTGTTGCTTGGATTCACACTTGACTTCATCGAGCGATACTTGCAGCTGTTTCAGTTGCAGCTTGGCCGTCTTGGCCTCTTCTTGAGCCTCCCCCAGCTTTTCCGTCACCGCCGCCATGCTGTTCATCAACGTCGTGTTGTCCTTCTCTAGACGACCCACATGGATGAGACGTAGCTGTCGACTAAAGAGGCCAAAGACCTTGACTTTTAGATACGCCGCACGCCAGCGATGACGCGCCAGCACCTTCTTCTTGAGCTTCAGGAAGCGCATCCTCGCGATCATCGCACGGACATGCGACTGCACGCGTAGAGCACTCCGCTTGCGACGCACCGTCTCGAACAGCCACAAGAAGCCACGCTTGGCCATATATTGCGCGGTGATCTTCTTCCAGCGCCTCTGCAAGTAAATAACACGTTGCAGAGGTCCCAGCCACTTGAGCAGCCAACGTTGTTGAACAGGTAGATACTTCTTGGCAAGGAGCTTGTCCAGTAACACCATCTTATCTTCCGGACGGTCCTGGTACGCGTGCATAGTCTGCGCCTGGTGAGCCATCCGCGTCCAGAGCTTGTGCATCCAAAGCTGCACACGGATCTTGCGCACACGTTTCCGAGCCAAATGCTGACGTACCATACACTGGATCACCGTGGCGCGACGTCGGTACCGAACCTCCTGGAAAATACGCTTGAACGCGTTGAACGTGATGATCGCAGTGGCTACACTGATCCAGTGTTTCTTGCGCAGATAGAGCAGCAGTTGTCTGCCCAGATTCTCCGTCGTGGACGCTGCTGGAGTCAGCAGTTTGTCCAGCAGATCGATCTTGCCCGTTCGGAAGAACAAGCGCGTGTCTCCTAACCGGTACGCGTTGGTAGGAAAGTCGTAGGCCCATAGAATCGCCTGTGTGAAGAGCTTGTCGTTCGACTCGAAGCGACAGAAAACTTTAAGCGGCAACAAGTTGCGGTACACGTCCACCACCTCAGCGTACAGAATACGCGTAGGCAGACCGACACGCAGCACTTCACAGGCTTGTACTGTTCCGGAGCATCGCAGCTGCTCCACGACGAACGGACGGTCGAAATGCCCCACCTTCATCTGCGTATTCGGCTTGATACAACGCACAAAGTTGCAGCTGGTGCCTTCCAGTTCCGTGGTCAGTCCCTTCATCTGCGTGGAGAACAAGTTGGACGTACTGCCTCCTTTGAGACGCTTCGAGGACGCCGAGCCGCCACCCAGAGGCGACAGGCCGGCGGATTTCAACGACACTGTAGACGCCGAGCGCGCACGGTTGCCATGGCGAGTATTGCCAGTCAGGTCTTGCAGCACACGTGACGACGAGTTCTTGAGCAGCTCCTCGAACTGATCCGAGATGATATTGTTGTTCTTGTCCACGAACGAGTTGATGGTGTACGAGACCGTGCCGGCGTAGTGGCGGATCAGGAACGTGTCCCGGATATCCTTGGGATGAGGCGTCGGGAAGCACGGATGACGCTTGAATAACGTATGCAGACGCTCGTTCAGCTTCCTGTCCGAGGGCATCGGCAAGCGCGACACGTTGTCAATAGTAGCAAAGAGACCGCCATGCCGACTGGCGATCAAGTTCAGGCACTCTCGGTTGTCCGAATAGGCCACGAGGTCTCCACTGGGGGCCACTTGTTCAGCTAAAAAGTCGATTTCATTGTCCGGATCCTGCACCTGAACTCCCTGGCCAGGAAGAGGGAACGGGAACGACAGCGAGTGGTTCGTCGGGTGGTAGATGTGCTCGCTCTTGTACAGTTCCTGTTCCGCCTCAAAGATGCACGAGTTGAACAGACTCTGCAGAGTCTCGTTGGCGTAATTGATCAGCAGCTGCTCGAACGAGTTGCGGTTTTTCGGCTCAAAGTCTTCAAAGCCAAAGATATCCAGCACGCCAATGTACGGCACCACGTCGCTGCGGAACGAGTCGTAGTCCAACGCAGCAGCGCACTCCCACATGAGCCACGTGAAGGTGTTTTCGTAGATGGTTTTGGCAATCGTGTCGCGGGAGTACACGGCGTTGCGCACGTCTCGTTTGATAAAGTAGATCGAGTTGCGTCGCGAGCCTCGGGTCATGATGCGCTTGAGTAAAATGCTCTCTGTAAGCTGTTCGACCGAGACGCCAAGCAGCTCGGAGGCGTGACGCACAGCCTCTTGCGACGCCACGTCGTCTTGACGGATACAGGCTGTCTCGCCTTCCTCTGTATCCTCCTGGCTGATGCGAATATTGCCCATATGCAACAGCCCCGCCACTAGACGGAAAATTTCATGTTGCGCGCTGTCACGAATGCCAATAAATTGCAACGCGCTCTTCAAGTTGCGGAAGTTCTCGGCGTCGTCGATGAGATCCGAGCGCATACAGCCGGATTGGTTTAAATACGAGTAAGCTTCCGGGGTTTTGGGCTTGAGGTGGAAACTTTTCTCGAGATATTCGGTGTCGTCCGAGTGCAACAGCTCGTAAAAGACGTGGAAATTGCGTTCACCTTGTGGCTGGAACACCAATCGACTCTTTTCCAGGAGATACGTGTCAATACTGGCACCGGTAAGTTCGTGCGTCTCGTTAGCAAATTGTAGGCGCATATACTTGCCGAATCGACTGGAATTGTGGTTGCGATGGGTTTTGGCATTGCCAAACGACTCGAGGATTGGAATTGTTTCCATCAGACGTTCCCCCACTGCAACAGGAGACAATTTGCTCTTGCCACTGGACTGTGGATACGACATGGCCAATGTGGAAGAGCCGGGGGGACCCATGCAACCCAGAACGGGTCGGTTGTGGGCTGTGAATTCAGGCTCCAGCTCGTCGTCCGAAGCTGAAGTACATGACGCAGTGGAAAGAGCGGGGTTGTGCACCGCACGCATGGTGAGGAAGTCCAGGATGATCTTGGACGTCTCGGTTTTGCCAGAGCCACTTTCTCCGCTGATAATGATGCTCTGGTTTTGCATCACAGCTCGCACGGCACATAGTTGCCGATAGGCGTTCTCTGCTACGTTGTATGGGTGAGGCGGACAGCGGTCCAGAGGTTGACCCACGAACAGCATCTTGTCAGGGTCTGGCAACTGCCGTAAAGGGTTCACAGCGATCAACACGTTGGCCATGAATGTGTATGGACGTTGGTTTTCTAGAGCTGCGCGGTCTTCCAGGTTCTTGGCCAGGGCAGCTTCGTGTAAGTGTCGAAGTGACGTCATGTCAGCAGCCGTGCTGTCATATTTTATCAAGCCACGAGGTGAGTTGCCATATGAAATGTGGCACTGCAAAAAATGAAATGTGGCATACCTGAACAATGGATTGGCGGCAAAAAGTGGCGTTTGTCGCAGATTAACTTGTTGCTCGAGTGGTACGTCGGCCGGCAACTCGTCGTCATCATTGCGGCGTAAGTGCTCGCCTGTGGCTTCGTCGATGAGTACGAACGTCGCCTCTTGCTGATTGTGATCGAAGGCTGTGACTTGGCCTAGTGTCCAGCCGTACGGGCCATCTTGCTTCCAATAAAGATCTCCAACACGGAGCTGCACGGCCGATACGGCCTCGGCCTTGATCTCGGAGCTGCCAACAGTGCCCGACGACATCGCCTTGGGCTGCCGCGTGCCGGCCACATGGGTGGCCGCAGCACCGCCACCGGAAAACGTCATGGCTCTTGACAGGGTATGTGGCAACTTAGCAGAGGCGAAATAGAATGCCACCGATAATTATCAATAGCAAAACTTCACTCGTTTGCTTGTTGCCTCTTGCGCGGAACGCGAAGTGATAGCCACAGAGGTGTCGTGTTGTGGCTAGACGCTGGTTGTCACCGAGGATGAAGTAACTTGCGTTCAGTATGCAGGAGGAAAACTGCTCTGATTGGCTACTATCCAGCTGTTTTTTCGAGCCTTCAGCACCTGCTCCTCAAAGAAACAAAATGCGAAGGCGTTGAAGGGGGGACCACAGTGGCCGTTGCAAACTGACTCCTATAGATATCTACATCACGTACATGTATCAGGATTTTTATCCCCGTCATCAGGATATTTTTTTGCCAAATGAAGCATGCATTCCGCAGCAAAGCAGTGCACCAATTCGCACACCTCGAGTGGCGTTTACGCCTGCTGCAAGCACTGACTCGTGCGGGCTTCAAAACGCAAACCCAAGGTGTGTGCGGCCGTCCAAGCCGCTGCATTACCTGCTCGGCAAAAGCGAAGCGCTTTTTCAGCTTCAACGCTGGGGGAGGCAAATCATCCGGAATTCGCGCTGACTCTCATCCGGATACTCTCAAGTTGAAGTCGCCACTAAATCCTTGCCAGCGAGATGTCAGGCTTGTCAAGCAAACTGGCCGCCTGTCGCCTTTGATACGGTGGCGATCATTCGCATCCTCCGTCACGCTGCACTGTCGTGCCAACATTTATCCGCCGACGGTTACGAGGCTGAATTGTTTGGAAGGGACCGTCAAAGTCGCCGCCAAAAGGCAGCTCGTTGTCGGTGTGACACACGGCCAGCAAGGCACTTGAGCCAAGTGCAGCCCTGCTGGATGGAGTTCATTCATGAACACAGGAAAAGCAGCCGTAGCATCGGAAGAGGCCGGCGTGGCACTGAACGTCGCGTTGCGAGCACCACGTGTGCCATGTGAGACCAAAGGCTGACACCACTGAGCTGAAATTCAGCACTGCGTCGTCGATTTCTGTTTCGGTGGCTTGCAAAAGTGGTATGGCAAATGCTCTGGCGTTCGTGCCACGATCGTGGCATCTCGCTGAGTTCTCGATGTCATTCCTGCGACAAAAAAGATCGTTGACTTCATCAACGATCTTTGGGAAAAATGATGCTAACGTTTCGCAGAATCAGGATAGAAAGTCATGTAAATTGATCACACTTCTGTATTCTGAGTCTATTTCATTGTTACAACATCAAGCCACAACTAAAACTTCACGCCTGACAACTAGCTGACATTAATTCGCACATGCAAAGTCAAATGGCCGCCATGCGTGGCCCTCGGGACCCACAGCAAGAGCGACCCACCGCCCGATCCTGGTATGCCGATAAAATTCGGTCGCCAGCGATCCAGATACAACGTCTTGTCTTCCAGTTCCTCAACCGTCGAGTTCCATGTCGCCCTCCCACCTGCAGCCACTGGCACCTTGGCAATTTTGTTGCCACCCGAGTGAATCACAACTTTGACATCTTTTGTGTCAATACTCGTGAAAACGAGGTTCACAACGCCATCCCCTTTCTTCTTCCACGAGCCATAGCTCCCGACAAACGCTTCGTCTATGGTCTGAAGACCCAATGCGTCATATAATGAGCCGTCGTCGATCTCACCGATAAACGCAGTGGGTCCACACGTCGGCTGGACGAACTGAGACGCCAACCAGACGATTCGTGTCGGGTCAAGCCCCGAAAACATCACCAACCCATAGTTTGTCACCTCCAGCATATACTGTTGCTGTGCCACAAATACCCCTTTATTTGTCGTCGCTGTATTGACCAGCTGGTCCACGATCACGCCGAAAGTTTTCCTCAGTAGATCTCGCGTTTCAAACGCCGCTTGCCTGGTCTTGTAGGACAATAATTCCTCCATACAATTATTAGTTGCCGCTGGAATTTCCTTCAGGACAAGCGACGACTTGCTGATCTTCACTCGGATATCGTTAATTGTGGCGCCGGGGTCTTTCTTGCGAGCGTTATTAACCGACAGGATAACGTGGTCGGTCAGTCGTTTGAGTTGATATCCGCACGTCGAGTTTGTATCCATGAGCTCTTGTAGCTCGCCCACACTGGAATGGGACGAATTGAGAGCACTGACGTTGTACAGTAGATTGTACACATTGCTCGCAGACGAGAGAATCTCGTCGCCATTGACGATTGCCTGCTTGACAATGGCCTCCACAATCATCATCACAACACCAGTGAACACCAACGTTGGCGGCACGTGAAGTCCTAGACAATGGCAGATGGCCACTGGCAAGTCCACCAGGACGACATCGGATTGATACGCCACTGCGAGAATATCTTCCACTGCTCCTTGTGGCGCGGTGGTTTGCTTGAATCTGACGTAGTAGACGAGAGATCGGAGCACGCCGACGATGTTCGCGGCGCAGAAGAAATTTCGTCGTACATTGCGATACACCGAAATGACTGTGCCCAGGATACCGGCAGTTGCCACATTAACCACTGAAGCCAGCACTGCCACCGCCTTCTGCGCTATCTCCAATGCACAGTCGTCATTTTGAGGGATACACTCCAGGAAGCAGTTCACCGGGTACGCTAGCGGACATTCGGCGATGCAGTTGGCTTCGACCTGGTCGTACATGGTGTAGCCTGCAGGACACACTTTACTGCTATTATACGGCGTCATTTGCCGGTAGCACGCCGTATCTTTGGCATTGCCAATAGTCGGCCCCACCCAGTTGCGAATCCTCTTGCCGAACCAGTCGGTTCCCATTTGGTCAGTGAGGTTTGTTGCCTTTGCCGACCTTCGTGTCCAGATGACACCAAGTTGATCCACTTCTGCTGCTGCGCGACCGAAGAAGCCGCTGAGTTGGAAACCTGCGGGGGCTTTCACTTTAGCGCTGTTTGCAGTCTTTATCCCGGTAGAAATGAAGTTGCCTTCACTCGAGGTGAGCTTGAGATAAAATACGCGTATTTTACGTCCTTTCTTGCCCCAATGAATCTCCATCGAGTCGATGTACTCGTCGGTATCGAGCACTAACGTTGCTGCCGTCCCGCCACTGCCGCCATGGTCCCAGGTCGCTTCGACCGGCGTTGCCACGTGTGTCGAGACGGCGTCGACTCGTGCAGCACCTCGGAGTGTAATGGAGCTGAGTGTTTGTCCTAATTTGATTGCCGACATGTCGGAGAAAGCGTCACCATTTGGCCCGCCGTAAACATCGCTGAGCTTGATGTCTTCGTCCAACGCGGTGTGTGTGGCGGCTGCGTCTACAGTGCTCGTCACGTAAGAGGCGAAAGCAACCAGGAGCGCCACGACCTGGAGCACCGTCCGGCGCGGCATCGCTGCGGATTATCAAGGTTTAAACTCGACGCCAAAAAAATACTAGTAACACTGATAGCATCAGTGATGGCGGGTGATAGGCTACCGGTGCTATCACAGATAGCACCGGCGTTGCATCCATTCTCTGGATCAGGATGGGATCGTGTTGAAACTCGTGCCAAGTGCATAACACATGTGAATTGGCCACCGGCTCGATGCCAGTCTCGCGCCACGATCGAGAAAATTGTGTTTGCACGCTCGCGTTGTTGTCTGACAAAACGTTAATCAAGGCATTTATTTTAAAGTTCTTACCGGAATTGGTAAGAAAAAAAGGAAATTGTAAAACTCAGTGTGAATTTAGAAAAACGCAAAAAGAGTTCTACTATTTATAAGAATGTGGTGGTTAATATGGCCTTTTATTTGGTTTTATTTTTTCTATAGAAGCCTGATGTGCAAGTAGACGATCAAGCAAACTATTAATAGTCGTCTTTCGGATTGTTGCTGTGGTTGCCTCTCTTTCAATTCTCCCAACCACTCTCTGTAAGTAACTCTGCATTGGATCTAGATCCTTGTTGTCTTGGAATAAGTATATCTTTGTGGCATGCTGCTGTGCCAGAAATCTCGCTGCTGCAAGCGCTTTCCTGCCCGGTTTTACCCAGTGAACTGCGAAGAAGGACTCAAGTAGTTGTTCTGGTGGTGCTGGAGCAGAGTCTACTTGGTCTGCGGTGCAATATCTCGGGGGTGAGTCTCGACTCTCGACTTGAAGAAATATCTTCGTTGTGTCCTCATGACGTGAAATCTCAGCTGTTCCCTGGTGCAGTAGGATTCCGTGGAATTTGCTGGGTTGGTCAGTCTTGGCGTAGCAAACACTGCTCGCCATTCTCAACACCCACGCTTTCTTTTGTGAAGGCTGTAAATGAGCCAACTTCCTGTCCTTTGTGAATTCATGCTGTGCTATTGTAGTAGCCAGACGGCAAGCTCTTTCTCGTCCTCTTCTTGGTTAGTGGACATCATAATTTGGTGGCATGTTTCGAGGCAATATCCAGCAATTCTGGTTTCCTGTCTCGATTTCCAAGCAGATGCAATTGCTCGAACTTGGAAACATCCTGCACCCCAAACACTTGCCGCTGTCTCACTAGCTGACGAATGTAGATTATTGACGACATGTCTGTTTTGAAGTCTCCAGAGTAAAACCAATGTAATCGTAGTCCAAATTATCCATAAGGTCTGCAAAGCGATGTCATGTTGAGCCGTCCATCTCGTAATACACTTTTGAGCCGTAACAATGAAATTGCTGGTGATTGCTGGGGCCTGCCTAGCACCCAGGAAGGTTGTCATCTCTTTTCGCTCACTGGGCGTTGTAGCTTGCGCTAGCCGGTAATCCATCCACGTTTCCCATGCAACTTGGCTTTTTCGCAGTCCCAAATGATATGCTCAGCAGTTTCTTGCTTTACCAAGCAGCTCAGTTCCGGGCATTCTCGGCTATTTAGCCATCCATGGTGAAAAAGGCTCAAACCTCCGATCGCAATCCGATACAGTGTCCAGTTTTGATAGTCCGTAAAGAGGTTCGATCTGTTCCAAAGCCTCTTTGGTTCTTGAACTATAGCGATCTTTTGCTAGGTCGATTTCTCCATCTTAGGTTTATTTGTCGTCAGGATAGATCTTAAGTCCGTGCGCATGTTGCGTTGAGTCTCCTTTGGTCGCTTCTTTCGTACTGTCGCCCCCAAGTTTAAATGCTTTTGTTGATTTTGGCGCCGTCCAGGGAATTAGGGAAGTTTTTGGGTGTGCCTTGAGCGAAATGCCTTCTCTTGCTTCCCAACTTTCCCACTACATGAAGTCATCACTTTCTTTGTACTCCTCTGATGCAAATGTAATTGACCATGTCCATCTATCCCTTCCACGCTCAACCTGCAGCACCATACTATCTTCCTCGTTGCTCCTCTTACTGGCAGTAACCGTATTGAAACTTGTCACCCACCACGTGAGCTTCTCTTTCAGTTTCGGTGATCCAAAGGGTTTGATCTCTGTGCTCTGCGTTGTCTAGAATTTCCAGGGCAAGCTAAGTAGAATGCTTCGGCTCCACCTTACAATTTGGCTGCGCTGCCTGGATTTATAAATGGTGGTGCGGAGTGGGGGTTGTATCAGGGCTCCATAGTCTCCAACCAATGTTAGACTTTCATTGTAGTTTACTGCTATTTCTCCCAATGTCGCCGCTTCCAATGCTGGGAAATCTTTAAGACGCAGTGGCATTCCTTTACAGTCGAGTACACAAGCGTTATCATGCCAAGTCGAATTTCTTAGAAAGGCTGCCGTTCCTTTGTCGATTTCTGTTTTATTGATTGTCGTGGTCGTAAATCTCAATGTCTGGCCGCCGATCCAATAGCAGGAAGTATTTCTTATCGCTTGGCACTGACGGTTCTTTATCTCTTGCAGTTGATCAGCTCCTGGGATAAAAGCTTTGAAATGGGACCACCAAAGCTCCATCCTCCCAAGTGTTTGCGCTGAAGTTCGATTTGTCTTCCTTTCTTTAGACAAATAAGTATTAACCATTGACAGACTGGTAGGTTGAAAAACCCACCAAGTCGTACTCATATGTTCTTCTGGACGTGCCGCTTGATGCCAGGCTGCGTAGGTATCATGATCCTCGTTAATCCACCTTTCCGTTAAATTGGCGCGAGTCGTCCTGATTGCTGTTGCTATATCGTGCATTCCGAGAACTCCATGCAGCTTGGGTGTAAACAATAGTGCCGGATTGAGCTTATGCCGAGAACTTGCAGTACTCGCGCTTCCATGCCACACGAGCTGTTTTTGCATATTCTCCAATTGCCGAAGCGTTTGTTCTGAAGGTACAAATTGTTTTGCCGTGTACAGAATTGACGGCAACGCAACTACGTTAAACAGCAGAATTCCTTGCTCTATAGCCTCCGCTGAATCAAGTGCTGGCACATAAATATTATTCTATGCTGAAATTCAAAGTGACTCTGATTGGACAGAATTGAAGATAACACTGAGCCATTTCTTCAGTCTGCGAGTACATCGATGTTCTGACTGGAGCACAGCTGTGCTACTACGCATTAATAAACTCACACAAGGACCCAACGGACCCCGAGGGTGTCACTATTGCGATCGTGGTGCTCACGGCATGCGCTGCAGCTGTCACAGCTGCTACACTTGATTAACGAGGCTGTAGGCGTCCGACGTCAAAGGTCCATGTTCCCTACAGCTATGCTCAAAGACGCTTTGGGTGCTCCAAATACTGACTGGTACATAAAAAACTGAGGGGTAATCGTAAGTCCTTCCTACGGATGTACCGAGAGGTGCACGCTGCGTACGATCGCAAGCCTGCTGCGAACAGTAAGTGTCCACTAGCTAAACGATTTGATTTAGCAATGCTCTACGTAGCACATGGAGGATTATGGACTCGGCTGCCTCAATAATGGGAATTTCTCGGGCGCGTGCAGTTGTTTACATTTATAAATGTTTGGAGGTCCTCAGTCACATAACAGCCAAGTACGTTGTTCTCCCTGATTTTTTGGGAAGTTAATAAGGTGGAGGACGGATTTCAATCCGTACAATATTCTGCCTGAATATAGAAGCTATCAAAACCTATTGTTTTGGATACAGCATATATCTTAAAAAGTATCCATTTACCGGCAAATCTACTGATATAGTGACAGGCCAGATTGCATTCCGCCAATCAAACAACGCATTCACTATTCCACCAATCACAGCCCAGGGACCGAGGACATCGGAAAACCTTTTCGCTGGCACTCGCACTGGTTACCAGAGAGCGGATGGCCTCCTCGAGCTCATTTCTGAAGTGTGCCAGTTACCAAGTCGACGCCACATGCAATGACCGCCCCACCAACGCAAAAGCGCTCATTCCTGAAGCGCCTCCGACTCACCAAGCAACAAGAGCTGCAGATTTGCGACTCCGACGCTCGTTCCCCCGCCAAACATTCACAGCGCTTGCTTCTCGTGCCCGCGTGGCTCTCCGTCTGGTCAAGTCGCCCTCGCTGCAGATGGTTTCGAGGGTGTTGAAGGCTGAAGATTAGCTGCGACAGCTGGCTCCCGACTGCCTGGCCCGCAACAAGCAGCGTCCACTTTACCAGCTCCAACTCGACCAAAGTATGGTCGAATTCGTGGTGTGGTGCGAGACCTCGCAGGTCTCGCTCTCTGGAGCCATGGTCATGTTGCAGGCTAAGAGGATGGCGGCTCGTCACCGCATTCCTGATGCTATGCTTCCCCGAATTGGCAAATCGTGGCTGCGCCGTTTTCGAGAGCGGTACGGTATTCGCTTCCGTCATTCTCATGGCGAGTCTGGTGCCGTTGATTTGGGGGCATGCGCTGCTGAAATACAAAAGCTGCGTAGTATAATTCGTAGCTACGCTTACTCGGACGTGTTTAACACAGACGAGTCAGGACTATTCTACAACAGCGTTCCCCGCGGCTCGCTATGCGCGTTTTCGGCGCCAGCCCTGAAGCAAGATAAGTCTCGCATTACCATGGCTGTTTGTACCAACGCTAATGGAAGTGAGAAACTTCCTTTGCTTTTCATCGGGAAGTCAGCGACGCCTCGCTGGTTCAAGAACAAGTCAGAAGCAGTGCAGTACACGTCCACAAAGAAGGCATGGATGACGACGACCGTATTCCAGTCGTGGTTGCGCGACCTAGACGCGTCGATGAGGGAACAGGGAAGGCAGATTTTACTCTTGGTAGACAATGCCTGATCGCACAGCGATGAGGATGTTACTTTGACCAACATTTGCCTTGAAAAACTGCCTCCAAATACGACCTCGAAGCTTCAACCTTTAGATCAAGACATCATCCACTGTGTTAACGCCATGTACTAACTAAGAAGA